TTTACGGGCCCCCTCAACTGAATAAACACTCTCTAGGCCCCACGTTAAGAATCCTTGCATTCATGTGGCCCTTCCTATCCCCAGAAGACCGGAGACCTCTCACCCAACCAGAATGCTGGTGCAGCGTGTCCTGCGGCTTTCTCTCGCTTCCGTTTAAATGACATATTGCCTCACCCACACCCTGCTGATTTACACAGCAGATACAGGGAGATAGAGCCGCAACGAGGTGCCGAGAGCATCCGAGATAGGAAATCGAAGCATTGGGGAGGAGAGGGGGGGAGATAGAGCTTTGGTGGTTTGCTCATATTTTCCCCTAGAAAGTGAGGAGGCGGGGGGTGGGGGTGGGAGATGTGTTCCTGGTGGGAGATGAAGGCGTGGAGGCCGGGGAGAGATCGGGGAGAGATCGTCGGCCAGTCTCTGACCTGCTACCCCCTCTGCTTCCCTCCTCAGCCCCCCTTTGACGGCGAGGACGAGGAGGAGCTGTTCCAGGCCATCATGGAACAAACCGTCACCTACCCCAAGTCGCTCTCCCGGGAGGCCGTGGCCATCTGCAAGGGGGTGAGAGCCCCGACTCCCAGATGGTCCCCACTCGCACGCCAGGCGCCCCGCTGCCGCCCTCCGGGGCTGCCCACGCAGCCGCTGTGCATAGCTATTAGAAAGGGGGCTCCCACCCCTCAACTCTGTTTCCACCTGCTGGAAACCGTTTATATAACACAGCGGTTTTGTTAGGACAATAATTGACTGCCCACTGCCACCTCCCCCCACCCCTTCAAGCATGGCCTCTGTCCCACACCCTCTGCCTCCCCCACTCCCCGGCTGGAGGCAGGGCCTGCCTCTCCACAGCCAGGTGTCCCAGGTGAGCATAAGTCGCCAGGTGTCCTCCCGTGGGATCTTGGGCCAGTCAACGACGCTCTGTAGCCTCGTCCCCTCTTCCGGAGTTAATGCGGGAGCGAGCGTGTAGCCTGGAGCAGCTTTCCACAGGTGTCCGCCCGCCTCTGCTCCTGGCCCCTGCCTCCATGTCTCTCTGACTGTCTCTCTCTCTCTCTCTCTCTCTCTCTCTCTCTCTCTCTCTGGGTTTCTGTCTGACCCTCTGCCTCCATCTGCACACGATGGGGCTTCTGTGTCTCCCTTTCCTGTGTCCTTCGGTATCTCCGTCTACCCCTTCCATCTCTGTTCTCTCTCTCTCTCTCTCTCTCTCTCTCTCTCTCTCTCTCTCCTTCTTCCCCCCACTCACTCACACACACTCTGGGTCTCGGGCCGTCTCTTCTCTGACTTCCCTCCTCTGCTCTTTCTGAGTCTCTGTCTTCATATCGGGTCCACGTGCCTCCCTCTGAGGGTTTGTCTCCGGGTCTCTGTCCCCTGCCCCCGCTCCTCCGTGGCCTGTGTTCTCGGGGTCTCTGCCCTCCCTCCTGGCTCTCCTCCTCTCTCTGGATCTCTATTGCACCCCTTTTTTTGGGTGGAGGGCCTTCAATCGTTCTCTCTCTTTTCCTCTCCCTACCCCCTACCCCCTCGGCCTCTCCCATCCTCACCCTCCCC